TCCTAGCCAGTTTTTTGTTGAGTTATAAGACAAAAACTTTGATGTGCCTGAGCAACTTTAAACGACTGAGGTGGTAAGTGTAGCAATATACGCAAACCCATATTCGCCGATGCAGTTTGGCTTCAAAAGCAAATATTCAAGAAGTTTTCGGCAAATGGTATTCACTCTCCAGCTTGCCGAGGATCAGCAAGCGATTCCAGCGCTCTTTATCAGTCGAGAAGCGCGGTCTCTACTTTATCTTTTTACCTACATTACTAGAGCGTTTAGTACCTATCAAAATTAGACGACTGTTCGTCACGTGTAGCCTTTAATCTTAACCCTTTAACTGATTGCGTTCTGCTGTCGCAAAACCGAATAATCGTCTATGTGATTGAATACACGTTATACATTACAAATTAGCCGAAGGAGCTAATAATTTATAACTAGTTAACTGGTTGCTTACCAGAAAATTTCCTGCTAGAATTGAAATATCACATATATCCGGAAAAGAGATCCAGCAGTGGAAAAAACGCCAAAAGAAGCAGACAATTTGAAGCAGCAAAAGGAAATTGCATAAATCAAAATTTAAGAAATTACGGTTTTTTTTATAAAGAAGTTTCCTTGTAAATTACACTAGCATTAAACTTTTGAGCAGCTTAAAGCGGGTGCCAAGTTTTACGAGTATGGTCGTATATTCTAAAAAAAGCCAAAACTTATTTCCAACCTTTTCTGTACACATATTCATATGAGCAGATTTCTTGCAAATTGCATTGGGATGACCTAATTGGTGCCGTCGCAATAAAATTTTCCAACTTCTAAATTTTTGTATTCTCTTTGATAACTTGACTTTCTTTTCTCAGTCCAGCCTTAATGATCTGTAGCATTTTCACCGAATTCTTTTCACTACTTCAAAACTTTTTGAAAGTCTAGTGCCAAAAAGTCATTTTAGACGCCTGCTTTATTAAAAAAACTGCTCTTCTATTGAAAAGTGGTGTTATTCAGTAGAAGCCGGATTGCATGCCGGAAAAAACATGATGATACGGTCTTTTCTTTTTACAGATCTAGTCATAATTACTGAAGTATACCTAAAACTCCACCATCAAAGCTATTCTACAAGGTATATTAAATTTTGAGACACCACATGTTTTTTTGCACATCAAAGTGGCATTTAAAGTACCATTTACTCTTAAATTTTTGGCGAGTCTTCTAGAAGCAGTTTCAAATAACGTTCGAGAGGTTTAGAAACATTGTTGTTGACAGAAAGATTTAAAGCGCAGGGTTTTCCGCGGAACTTGCAAAACTGCTGAGTCGATTACACCAGGTTCTGCGACAATTTGCCGAAGTGGTTCAGCAACTTCTATTGCTCTCTTCAGCGCTTTCCCAGAAATCAATTAACAGGCGCTACTTTGAATCTTGTTAAAGTGGCTTCATAGAATTATGCTTCTTTCAGAAACAAGAAGTTGTTAAAGCTGGGACGCCTGACCTGGTGTTTTTTCGATTTTTTTGGTTTGTTACTTCAGTTCTAGCAAAATGTCGCTGTTACTATTTACTTTCATTGAATAAGCAACCTTGCCATATCTTTTGGAATTGGTTTTAAATCTCAAAATTTTTATTTATTATTCTTTTCTCTTCTTTTTACCAGTCTTTAGTACAAGTACAAGCGGGAGCTGCTACAGGTGATTAAGCGTTTTTGATCCTAAAGTTGATTTTTTTCAGACGGAAACCTACCTTTTCAGCTGTACATGAGATTCTTGATTTCCCGCTGTGTATCCTTAGCAGTTCCTCGCCTGTGCACTTATTTCTGCTTTGCTGCCTAATCACCTGGTTTTACTATGCCTTATTTTTTATTTTTGTTTTTTTTTTTTTTTTTTTTTTTTT